TGGGATAACAAGGTGTAGAGCTGGATGAACACAGCAGGCCAAGCAGCAGAGGAGCAGGAAAGCTGACGTTTTGGGCCATCTGAAAAATTTTCTGAATAAGGGTCTAGGGCCGAAATGTCAGCTTTCCTGCTCCTCTGATGCTGCTTGGCCTGCTGTGTTCATCCAGCTCTACACCTTATCTCAGATTCTGCAGTTCTTAATATCTCTGTTGGAGTTGGTATTGGTTTCCAGTTAGAGAAGTTTTGAAGTCATCGCACTGTACTATTCACTCCACATTCTCCAAAATCCATTCCTATGTTTCAATACTTTTCTGCTGTGTCTGAAGAGATGAAATAATTGATAATTCAGTGACTCCTTGTGGCAAATAACTCCATATTCCTACAACATTCCATAACAGAAGTCCTGTAATCTGTTTCCTCACTGTGAAGATCGGTAATGGACTCCATTCACTGACTCAATACAAAAGGAAAGATTCTTATTTTTCAAATGATCCAAGTAACTTATAACTTTCAAAAATACATCTCAACATTCTCTGCAGCAACATAAACTGTTCAGTTTTCTCAAGTGTCTGCTCATAACTGTAGACTTCCATAACTAAAACCACTCTGGTTAATCTAAACTGCATATCCTCAATGGTTTTACCACATTTTTTCTAATGAGGCAACTAAAATTGTACACAACACTATATATAAGCATTTCCATGTGGAAATTTAGCACCCCTTTGTTCTTCTGACCCCCACCCCCACTAAAAAAGCAAATTACTACAGGCCTTTTTAGTAGCATTATGTACATTTTTAATATTGAGGAATCAAGCTTGGTACTCTTTCTGGCTCATTTTATTGCTCCACATTCTGTATCACCTTATCTGCCACCTGGATTCCTAATCCTCTAACCCTTCCATGTCCAATATTAGGCTTGTGTTTCTTTAAATTGACATAAAAATGCACCCATTACTGCTCAAAGAGAGCTAAAAGTTCTACTGGTGTCTTAATTAAACATCACCTAACTATTTGCAGTCTTGCTCTGCATGTATTTTCTATGCATTTGTCTCAATAGCACTTTAAAATATAATGAATGGATTGTGAAGCACTCTAGGGTAGCCCAAACATGTTAAAGTCGCTTAATAAATGGAAGTTCTTTTCTTTCATTCCAAAAGATGGTGGTTCCAAAACCTCCAACCTCGAGAGATCAAAGAAAATCGAACTGTGCCCTCGCAGGGCAATGACTGATAGAACAAGATTCTGGAGACCACTTCGTTCACGATGATGTTACAACTTCCACAAAATGGGTGATCACTACATATGAAAAGTGAGAACAAATTATTTCTAGATATCAATGGTAGATCTGGAATCTTTCAATCATGTACAAGGAGTTAGTGAGGTCCTCCTTTGTCATTTATATAAATGATTTGGAGAGAATATAGAAGGCACGGTTAGTAAGTTTGCGGATGACACCAAGACTGGTAGAATTGTAGACAGTGAAGAAGGTTTTCTAAGATTACAAAGGGATCTTGATCAAATGGGTCAATGGGCTGAAAAAGGCAGATGGAATTCAATCTGGATAGATGCGAAGTATTGCATTTTGGTACAACAAACAAGGGTAGGGCCTATACAATTAGTGATAAGGCCATGGGTAGTGTTGTAAAACAGAGGGACCTAGGGGTGCAGATACACAATGCTTTAAAGTTTGCATCACACATAGACAGGATGGTTAAAACGTATTTAGGCTCACTTGCCTTCATTGCTCAGTCCTTTGAGTATAGGAGTTGGGACGGAAGTTGTACAGGACATTGGTGAGGCCTCTTCTGGAAAACTGTATCTAGTTCTCGTTGTCCATTTATAGGAGGGATATGATCAAGCTGGAGGGGGTTCAGAAGAGATTTACCAGGATGTTGCCAGGTATAGAAAGTTTGAATTATAAGGAAAGGCTGGATAGGCTGAGGCTTTTTCACTGAAGCATAGGAGGTTGAGAGGTGACCTGATAGAAGTTTACAAAATAATGAGGTATAGATAGAGTTAATGGTAGTTGTCTTTTCCCCAAGATGGGGAATTTCAAGACTAGGGGCACATTTTTAAAGGTAAGGTAAGAGATATTTAAAAAAGACATGAGGGGCAAATTTTTTAACCAGAGAGAGTGGTTCATGTACGGAATGAACTTCCTGAGGAAGTGGTGGAAACAGGTACAATTACAACATTTAAAAGATATTTGGATGGATATATGAAGAGGAAAGATTTGGAGAGATACAGGCCAGAAGCAGGCAGGTGGGACTAGTTTGGTTTGGGATTATGTTTGTCATGTACTGGTTGGACCGAAGGGTTTGCTTCTGTGTCGTATGACTCTGACTATAACAGTGAACAGAGGTGAGAGAGCTATGCCTTGAAGTCAAGGCAGAATGTGAACTAGTACAACATAAAAGGAGCCCAAGTAAGACTGGGGTCAATGGGAATTGGGGGAAATGCTCAACTGGAGTCCCATCATAAAGGAAGATGACTGTGGTTGTTGGAGGTACATCATCTCAGTCACAGTACATCACAGCAGTAGTTCTTCAGTACTGTCCTAGACTCTAGATCTTCAGTTGCTTCAATGAAGTACCACAGCCACCATCAGGTCAGAAATAGGGATGTTCACTGATGATTCAGACATTCACTTAAGCATTCAGCACCATTCACAACTGAAGAGTCTTTACAAGACTAAGTCAGGAGATTGGGAATTGGAGGCACATAGCTGACCTCCTAATTCCCCAAGACCTGTTCACCATCTATAAAAGGTACAGATGAGCAGCGTGATAGAACACTCTCCAATTGCTGGAATAAGTGCAGTTCCAATGGCACTCAAGAAGCTCAACAGCATCTAGGTCAAAGCTGTCCTCTTGAAAAGTACCCTAAACTACACCTTCAATATTCAGTCCCTCCATCACCACTGATGCACAGCAGCAACTATGTGTACCAAGTATATGAATGAGCACTATGAAATGTCACAGTATTCAAGACTATGGATCAAGAACTGGGGTGTGGGATTACTGTAGATAGGTCGGTCCAACTTGATGGGCCAAAAGGTCCTGTTCTTTGTTGCATGATTCTAGTATTCTACGCAATAAACTGAAGCAATTCATCTGTGATTTCGCAGACAGAGAAGAAGGGCAGCAGATGCTTGGGAACATAATGTACAAGTCGCACTCCATGCCGCACACCATACTGACTGAAACTACACAACCATTACCTTACTTTGTCAAAATCTGCAAGTGATATCTAGCTCGCTTCAAGGCAGTGACTTGCCACTATATTCTCAAAGGCAATATCTTACATACTGGCAAGGCATTTAACAAACAGATACTCGTTTCCTTGCTTTTGTCTCTAGAGGCAAGTGTGAAGGGGAGAGAGGGGGAGGGAAGGAGTGAGAGTGAAGGGCAAGAGAAAAAAAAGAGAGGAGTGAACAGTGATAAAAGATTTTTTTCCCCCAACTTCCATATATAATTGTTAGTCTCTAAAGATTGTTCTCCCTCTTTCACACATTAAATGGAATCCTACACTAACCCAAGAGTACATCAAATTTTACTTTCAATTTCAAGTCTAAAGTAAGCAAAATAGAAGGAGCATAGTTTCCTGCTTCCTGTCCATCAACTAACTTTCTACACATGCTGCTCCATACTCATACTACATTTTTGACACAAGCCTACTATAAGGCACCTAACTGAATACATTCTGCAAATCCAGACACAAATTTCTCAATTCTTCCAAGATTTACAAGCATGATTTTCCATCAACAAATGCAAAAGTAATTGAAATACATTTTTGAAAAATAAAAATCATGTTTTCAGATATTTCTAAGACCACCAAGACTATTGGGAAATCCTCACTAGAATTTCCTTACCAACTGTCTCCGTATTGCATGTAGCAAACTTGGAGCATTCAAATGACA